TTCTATTAGACCTTCAAGTAAGTTTGCTTATTTACATTCTGCTATTCTATTTGAACAAATATGGTAGAAGGGCACATTCAATCATTGTTTGTCTATTAGTTTTCACTTTGGTTTTTGTGTAGTCCAGCTTGATCTAGCCGAAAAACTTCAGTTTTTTGCTACATTTTTGCTTCTGTGTGGCTTTGTTTGTTACTTTCTTCACTTTTATTTAACTTAAATTTTGCTTCTCCTGTATGATATGTCGAACTTTTGTTGGGTTATTCTTTATTTACCTCAATTTACTCCAGAAGCTTTAGTTCTTGCTTGATATGTGTTATTTTGCTCCATCTCTGTCTTTGATGCTTTTACAACAATTTTTTTTTAGCTCATGAGTTGGGATTCCTTATATTTCTATCGGGGTTTTTAGTTTTGGCTTTCAACACTTTACTTTCATCCAGCTAAACTAGCTTCATTTTTTATTCAATTTTTGCTCTGTTGTATATTTCTTTTATTTTATGCAGCTTTAGTTAAGGTGTGTTTTTTAATTCTTGCACTTTCGTTGGTTTTTCCTATGATAAATTATTCTTTATTTAATTATGCACAAACTCAACTGCATTTCAGTAAATTAACGACAATCTAAATCAAATTTTTTCTCTTTCCAAAATAGCTATGTATCCACATCTAATTCTGTCATTTCTATATGCACAGATGGATAAACTCCATGTTTTGTTCTAAGGATGTTAGCATCAATGACTACTCATTATGGTCCTAATGAGGCTAAGAACTTCTCATTGGCATGAAAGGTATATTATGCAAGCATTTTAACTTTTAAGACTCTTATTTAAAATGCTTTATATAGTAGGTTATTATTTACTTTGATGAAATAACTTCAACCTCCTTGTGAACCTTGTTCGAATATATTATATTTTCTATCAATTAACACCTATGAAATTGATTGAAGAAAACTTTTCTCAAAGATTCTGATTATATAAATATATTTATTTGGCTTGAGTTTGGTACATATTGATCTAGAGATATTATAAGTTCATTAACTAATCCAGTCCTTCCAACAGGGGCACACAACGCTTATATCAATCAATGGGTTGCATCAGATACACATTCTTATATTCTTTTTAGCAGTTCTTCATGTGATTTATAGTGCTGTTACGAGGGCAATTGAAAGAATGAAGGTAATAGAGAATGGTTTAATCATTTATGCACTTTCAATTCTGATCTTCCAGGCAATACCTCCTTCATTCTTATTAATTGATTTTCTTCCTGAAATGACATATACTTGAAGTTTGAGCTTTTATTTTTTTATTGCATAATTTTAGTAGAGCTCGTCCAAATCCTTGACTATTAAGTGTGAAAAGAAGCTATATTATGCATTCAATGCTTAAGAGAAAGCTACCAAAAAAAGGAGATAAATATATTTTTTTGGAACGCTAATATTACCTTCGTAATCACATTGCCCGTGCATTGCACGGGCAATAGACTAGTATTCTGGAAAAGGCTTGATAGGTGACGAATATCTGTCAACTGGTGAGCTCAAACCACTTTGTGTCTGACAGTGTACTGATTATCTTTTCTTTCTTCCTCCCATTCTTTCTTGTCCCCAAGTGATCAGATCAGACCTTTTACACCCGGTTTGATTCTCATTTTTCATCCATAAAAATGAAAAATATGACCGTTATTCATCACATCAAGCCATCAATTTTGAATTTCTATCTCTTGTGTGGGGCCAAATAACGGTTATATTTTTCATTCTCATTCTACAATAATGAGAATCAAACGGACCCTAAATAGACTATAATTTGTTAGCTAATCATTCAAATTATGCTCTTTGAATTTACTTATCTGATGATGGCTCATGATTCACTACCATACGCTCGATGTCACGTGGTGTACCTGGACCTTGTTACATATTGTTAATAATTATAAATCTTCTCGTTGCAATATTTCTCAGGGTCTGAGTTTCTCTCCAGAAATGCAGAAGAAGCCAACAAAAGCTTTTTTTGGAGGATGGAGAATGAGAATAGCTCTTGCTCGTACTTTGTTTATTGAGCTTGATGTATTACTACTTGATGAACCCACGGTCTGCTATCCATATTGTTGTCAGTTAGTGCATTCATATACAATTTAAACTCAATTACATACTTTTGTTCCGCTTTCATGTCAGAATCATCTTGATCTTCATGCTGTCTTGTGGCTGGAATCATACCTTGTGAAATGGCCAAAGACGTTTATTGTTGTTTCGCATGCAAGAGAGTTTTTGAACACTGTATGCCTTTTCCTCTTGGCTGCAATTAGCTGACAATCAGTGTGTATATTTTTCTCTGGTCACCTGCTGATGTATTCTTTGCCATATCATTTGCTAAATCACTTTTAACAGGTGGTCACAGACATTCTCCATCTTCAAGGACAAAAATTGGTCACTTTCTGAGGAAATTATGATGTATTTGAGAGAACAAGGGAAGAACAGCTCAAGGACCAACAGAAAGTTTGAGGCAGAAGAACGCTCAAGGGCTCACATGTAGGTTTATGTAGACGTGTCAATCTGGGTGGTCCGG